GTGACAACTGTTCGTGTCACAAGCAATTGGATACCGGCAATTGGCCGTTTTTAGCTACGGAGAAGGGAAGTCTAACTAGTTGGCTAGCAGCAAGGTGGAGGAGGTATGCCCCTCGTTGTGGCTGAGTGGGCAACCCCACCTTGCCAGGCGTGGCTGGTGGTGGCCCGGACCTCCCTTCCCCTATTGCCTCACAATTGCCCCTTTTCCAACAACTTACGGCTATTGGTAGGATGGATGGCTGCCGGCTGGAGCATAATACTTAGTAGTTAGGTGAAGAGACAGAATTTAGATCATGTGACCATAAAGCATGTTTTAGTTATATCTGAACTGTGCTTGATTATCTTGCAATAGTCATTTTCCAAGCCTGCACGACTTGTATTCCGACCAGCTTGTTACATATTCATTTTCTAGTAGGTCATGAGGAGTTGCGTGGAGTGTTGCTCTCAAAGAATATCCTTGTCCTTCAGAAGGCGAACGGGCCATATCTACATGACTATTTTCAACGGACACCTCTTTATCAGGGAGTTCCGCTACCGTTGATTGTATAGCCAGAGACAGGGGGGTCGTAACGGCGATACCGATATCGCCCAGGTTGTAGCCGTGATCATTAGAACGCTGGCCTTTGAGTTGTTAGGAGGCTAATAGATTCAAGGAATGATTACTCACCATTTTCTGGGATAAGGTTTGTTTCTGATTGAATGCCACTTTGAATTCTATTTTCTGTTGATGAGGTTGATGGCCCCCCCTTCCTAGAATGAAGCCAAAGAAAGCAGGCCAGAGCCAAGGTAGGAACAGCAATTCCTACCACTAAGGCGATCAGGATATGCGGTATGCCTTGGCTGTTGAAATTCTGCATGGACAGGCTGGTGGTAGTCGGAGAATTTGTAGCTACAATAAACGTTTCGAAGCGAGTCCGGGTCCCATATGTATTCGCATATGACGTAAGAGACGAGGTGGCTGAGGAGGAGTGTGAAGTGGAAACTGAGATAGAGGACTCATGCGTTTGAGTATTAGGGCATTCCGGCAGATCGCAAGGGTCTGTCGAGCAACATCCACGAAAGCCATTACTACTGCAAACGTAGTATGAAGACTCTTGTGGGCAGGTTGTCTGACGTTTGGCTAAGTCGTTCATCTTCATTGTTGAAGAAACTTGTCAACGCAACGACTAATATCGCAAATGCAGTTCCTGGTTAAGATATACTTGAAGTGTGAATCTACATCCGTTTGCCCTGCAAGAAGGTTGGCGCTTATAGCGTGGTTATTTTAGGGGCGCACATGCTATTTTAAGCTGCTGTCTAACTAGCACAACGCGGCAGACTTCTTGTTTTCAGAGATTCATCGAGAAGAACATAACAAAAGCTGCAATAATAAATAGTTCAAGCTTTCTCAGTCAGGGCATTTGCAAAGTTTCTACTCACAATATACAGCTCAGAAAAGATGGATTCGAGTACCCAAGTGAACCAGCAGCCTTGCCGAGAACCTACTCCGAACACCGATGATATAAACGCGCCTCCCGAAGAGCTGAAGAATCCTCGCAAACGACCCTGTAAGATAATCTTGCGGACATCTAAGTGGGCAGATCCTGCGATAAGAGCACGGCAGCTGGAAAGGCTCCGCCGTAGAAAGTTGAACCTTGCTAAAAAGGCACACGAGTTTCACCGGGACTTTCAGCATGACTTTGGTGCGGAGATATTTCTCGTTCTCCGTACAGAAGGAAAATACTTGATTTTTGATTCGTCCGATGATTCTGGGTGGAGATCTCCCACCCATCTCGTTGGTTCATCTACTCAGACATAAAGTGCGAAATGATTGACACTGTTTTAGGACAAAACGTATCCTCTTCCAAGAGTGTACACTCCGCAAAGCTTTCAAAAAGATGCTTAGCGTATGCTGCTTCGGCACAGCGCTCTACAGGTTAGCAATTGTAGTCAGTTGAATTTGACCAGTTGAATTTGTACACGGACAAGCATTTTAGGTTGCTCTTGTAGAAAACAAAACATATTCTGCTTCTGTCACTGTCGAGTCGTGTCAGTCTTCTATTTAATATCACTCATCTCCCTCCCTTGATAACCCTCCAGTACATTAAAATATAACTGCTGAGTTGCTGTCACGTAACTATCGACGTGGACTTTTATTGTGCATAATAAAGAGGAGGTACGTAGCACATCCGCAACGTGTGCACGCATCGCTGTTCAGCACATTCTTACACGGTCGGGCGATTCGGGGATCACGAATGATACAAAGCTACAGTAGGGTGGTGGTGCTGTGAAGTGACTCTTAGCTAAAGGGTCCCGTTGATTGGGTTGTCCCTATATATATGCAAAAACTAATGACCTGGTACTGTAGCTAGCTTCGAGGGCTAGCGGACATCCGACGCTGGGGGTACGCAGCGCCGTCGCAGCTACGTAACACTGGGACGGACCAAGTGACAAACGGTCTCCTGCCATTTGGTATACATATATACGAATACAAACACAAATCTTATGCAATTCATGCTTACACATCTTTCAACGATATGGTTTGTATGTATCGATCACAAGTCTACCACTTGCGTGGGGGCGCAGAAGGTGACGAGCAACAGCGTGCTGAGTTGATGAGTACGTCTAACGAGTGACTATGGACGTATCCTGGACGACATAAATGAAGTTCTAATCTAAGGTCCAATTGTTGCAGAAATCCTGTACAATCTTCTTCATCACTGACGTATACACCTCCCTAAGGATGTCTTTATCCAGCCGCGCTCCGTGATCTAAGAGTGAATTCATGATGTCTGTGTTCCCGCGCTCTATAGCCCAGGACAATGGCTTTCGGTTGTCTTCTCCTCGCACCGCTTGACTAGCACCGCTGCCAAGAAGTAACTTCACGCAGCCGCTATGGCCGTACAACACGGCGATGGACAGTGCTGTATTCCCGTAACTGTTCCGAAGATCGAGATAATCCGCTTGAACACAACGTGACTTGACAGACTCTGGTAACTTCAGGATCTCGTCGTCATTACAGAGAAGATATTTCATCAATTCAAGGTGGCTGTCCTCTTCCGATGGGTCTGGGAGCCTCGGCGGGCCGGAGAGAAGGTGCAGAGCGGTGTCACCTAGAGCACCCTGCAAGAAAGGATTCATACCCCTGTGGAGAAGGAATTTTACCGTTTCCACCTTGCTAGGAAATTGTGCTGTGGTGGCGCGCAAAAGAAAATGCAAAACACAATCACCTCCTCTGTCCATTTGAGTGTTCAAATCAGTCCCTGGTTCTGAGAGAACTTTCTGGGAAATGACAGCTCCCGATATGGAGACGCCGCTTTCCATAAACTCTAAAGCAGCTGTCGTATCGCCACGGAAGATGGTGTCAACTAGACTCTGCAGTGAGGATGGGTCAGAAACCGACCCCGTGAATTCGTCATCGTGAAGTGTCGAGCCAGATCTGTAGCTGGATATCCAAGCATCAAGATCCGTATCCGACTTTGCAAATGTCTGCCCGGATAACTGGCTACTTGCACTGCCCGTCGGGGATGAAGCCATCTGAAGTTGGTGATGACGTGGGAGATGCTACAGGGGGGGTGGGCGGGGTGACGATGATGGAGATCCTCTGCATCATTGTATCCATTCCATGTTATTCAAATCACTTGAGGGAAGACTGGCAAGGAGCACAACGTCAAGGGTTAATCGGGTCTTATAGTCGCCTCACTCACAATGTTCTGTCGTAAGTTAGAAAGCTGATTCCAGGAAGTTCCATCTTGCTTTTTCATCTACAGCACTGATATGAAGATGCTGCGAACGATCGGTAGAAAATCGTTGTTGTGAAGCCGAAAGCTGCTTTCCTTCCCCGCTCCTCCTCCACCCTTTGTGTCCTGCTTCCCCCCCTGGTTAGGGCTGCTCCCGAGGTGCGCGCTATCTGAGTTTTTCCATTGTGTGAGGCCCTTCACTAGCTTAGTCAGCGCCCTGACAAGCACACTGTTTGCCGCAATAGTAGTTCCATCCCTTGGCTTGGCATATCAAGCATACTTTGAAGCTAGTTGTTTCAGTGCGTCATGCGACCTCATACTACACGCTGTCACTGGGCTACAGAGAACAGGGACGGCAAGCTAACTGTGCAGATAGTACGGTTCTAAGATAACAGGCTCAGGAGTGTTCTAAACTCGCTGGTCCCACACTGGCCGGTTGCACTTCGGATATCACGTTCCCCTTGGGTGAATCCTTTCTTTGTTTCACGCCAATGCACAAAGCAGTATACTTGCGAGGATACAAGATGCCAAGAAACTGGGGCAACAAATCGAAATACTGGTTGGTTCTACTTGTTTTATTGCAAAAGTGTGAGACAATGCAATATCCTCTATTCCTCCATTCGTGGGATCAGTCAATCTTAGATACCATACCCTTTGACATACAGAACATTGATCTGTTTGGAAACACTATCGGCTGAAAATTCTAGTAATAAAGTATCTCAATCTATTGCTTATTGTTCTAACTTGGGCCAACCAGTTTATAGGTGCGCAAAGTTCCGTACGCGTATGCTTTCATAATCAAGATAACCTTTGAACAGACCAGTACGTGCCATTCGCTGTGCGAACGAAACTCTGCTTGGTCTGGGTATCTTCTAAATATCTCACATCTCTTTCGGGCGAAGGAACTACTGGAGTCAGAAACCTGATTTCGTGGGTTTCCCAAAACCACCTTTCACCATGTTGTGACAGGTTGCCCGCCCCCCGATCTCGCAGGGTTGAAGGTTGCTGTTGGTACTGCGCCCATGACTGAGGCGGCCACCCTGAAACCGGAGGTCTCTGTGGCGGCTCTGTTGTGTCTCTATAGTTGCTTGGCTGAGATGATGGCTCTCTTCCTGAAAACGGGTGGTATAGCCACGGCTGCGTTAGACCTGGCGGAAATGATGAATACGGATCCCACGGCGTGGGAGTAGCTGACCAGGGACGAGACACTTGGGGTGGAAAACCCCATTGAGGCGCCTGGAAAGACGCCTGTGGTGGCATAAACGACGGTGCTGGTTGATGGTTACTGACAGGTGGATGCCCAGGTTGTGGCGACAACCTCGACGTAGGCTGTTGTGCCTGCGACGGTTGGGCTGGGGGTGGTTGAGTAGTCCGCGACGACGAAACCGGCGACAGCCTCGACGTAGGCTGTTGTGTTTGTGAGGGTTGGGATGGGGGTGGTTGAGTAGTCCGCGGCAACGAAACCGGCGACAGCCTCGTCGTAGGCTGTTGTGTTTGTGAGGGTTGGGCTGGGGGTGGTTGAGTCGTCTGTGGCCACGGACCTGGAAATACTCGTGTAGGCTGTGGATTCTTGCTGAAAGCAGCCATGGGCTTGACAGGCTCGGATATATTGGCAGACCCGTCCGTCTGTGGAACACTTATTTCTGGGCGGTCGTAAGCTTCGATCTTCGCGGCCCATTTCTGACCACCAGTCTTTACAATCTCCGTCTTGGAGAAACATTGTCCGTCAACGAGTACAATACAATCCCCCCGGTTTTTGAGACCGTGCGCTTCTGCAAAGAACACGATATCGAACGGATTAGGATTCTTCCACCTCGCAACCCCTTGAAGGCCCGCAAACTTCTTTAGGTCTCCAGACGCAAACTTGAGTCCGCCGTTGCTTTCGTACTCTCTAGTTTCGGAAGCATAAGCAGGCTTACTCAAAATCCAGCCTTTGCCCCGGCCTTCCTTCGTTCCCATTGCTTCAACAGCTAGTTGGTTTTTCTTGGTAATACCCCTTTTCAAAACCCAAGTCGTCTTTCCTATCTCCTCAGCATCGTCTATTTCCATCCATCTGCCTGTTTCTGGATGTGGAAAATCCCCCCACTTCGAAAAATTGGGATGCCTATCCATCTGGCTGCTATCGTTGGTACATGTATGATCCCTTGCCCAAGTCCACGGGTTGAATGAACTCTGAGGCGTGGGCGGCACTTTAGAGTGAGGAGACTGTGGAACGTCATCGAATCGGTTTTGAGATTGACCACCTTGAGGAGTCCACTGGCCAGCTGGACGAAAGTGGGTTCCTTCCTCTGGTCTTTCTTGCTTTACGGGGGGCTTTTCGGTGTTGGTTTCGAGTCAGGAGCAGGTGTAGGAGCTTGAGGTTGTTCAACAGGTGCTGTCTTAGTCGCCGGGCGAGGGTCAGGTTGCTTAGCACTCTTATGACGATCTTTGGGCTCATCGTCTCGCTGGCTGTTTTGAGTTTTACTTTTATCCTCGCGATTCTGTTCGTGTTCCTCGTGCTCGGAGTTTTCTGGGGCCTCGTGTGAGCTTTGTTTGGGAGTGGAATGTTGGCCTACTCCCGCGGCTTGATAGTTATCTGAACCATCTGGCTGAGTACTAGGAGTGCGGCCTAGCCTTTTATTTTCTTCATTCTTGTAAGGTTGACGTTGTTTGGCTTTTATGGTCGTGTTCTCGGAGTCGGTGCTTGAGGTTGTGGCAGCACGGTCCTCTGATGTGTTGGCTTGTGGACTCTGAGAGTCATCGCTGGAGATAGTAATAGCACGGGGGTTCTCTGGTGCTGGTGCGTTTACTTGTGAACCCTCAGAGCCATCGCTGGAGATAGTGATAGCACGGGGGTTCTCTGGCGCTGATGTGTTTGCTTGTGGACTCCTAAAGCCACTGCTAGGGGATGTGAGTGCACGATCGTGTCCTGAACCTTTCGCATCATTGCTAGATACAGTAATACCATCATCTTGTACTGGTCCAGATAAGGTTGCATTAGACTGATTTCCTGGCGATTTCTGAACACTCTCGGATAGATTGCTAGCTGCTGAAGTTTCCGCAGCCTCTTCTGCTTTGTTTTGAGTTGATACCTCAGAACGCGAAGGCTTTGAGGGCGTAAAAAAGCTTCCCAACGTCTGCATTAAACTTTTTTTTCTTGGAGTTCCGGGCGTATTCTCAGCAGACTCGAAAACCTCTCCATCTTCAAATCGATCCTTTGCAGTTTGAGTGTCTGGCGTTGCTGGCTGTTCAATACGAACTTCCTGTCCTTCAGGTGTACTTGGCTGAACTTGCTCTTCATTTTGTTCTACACTCTCTTCACCTAACTTAAGAAGATGCTCCTGAAGCTTGGCAGGATCTCCTAAGCTATCGAGACCCACGAGCCAAGACAATTTTACGATCGGAATTTTCTTCTGTTTTGCTTCTCGCGCTGTCTTGTTTGCCAACGAATCATTGGTCGCAATCAAACAAAATGCATCGTCCGGAAGCTTGTTGGACACTGCCTGCCCCCCTTTCGAAGTGACGATATTCTTTATGGCTTCATGAGAAAACTCAGGATGAGTGCCAGTAATAGACACAATACGATTATGAAGTGGACCGCGGCTATCCATAGACATTGCTGTTGACTTGATCAGTGACTAGACTAGCTGTGACAGTAAACTATTGTAGACACTGGGAACATTGAAGTATTAAATACTAACGGGGTAGAGGTCACTTTTCTGGTTTCTCATATAAGAACACTTTATGATACTAGTAGCTACATGCTTTCAGAATAGAGCAATTTGAAGTCGAGTTTGCTTTTAGCGAATGAACTAAACAGAAGTAGAAAACAACAAAACCATGCAGACCAGCGTACCGGAGCTATTAGCTACTAGATGCGTCTGATATCCTCACGTCGGACTCGACGCTTTACTAAAGGAGACCTAGGCTCCGGTGTTTGAACTGCTATGCCCTTCTCTACGTCGTCACCTTTGTTCCCTGACTTCATGGTGCGCCTGAGGGCAATCACCTGGTCCATATGTTCGGGATATTCCGATCTGAACAATTTCGTTTCAACCCCTGAACGCACGATGAAACTCTCAACTTCTCCCACAAAATTCATATTTCCGCTGACTATTCAAGGTTAGTAATGCACTTTGATATGAATGATGTTTCAGTACCAAGTATCGCGGACGCATGGATACCGTAAGAATCCAGAGTCAAGACCTCCCCCAACAGTTTGTACTGGTTCTCCCTACTGCCGTAGGACCTCTGCCACTGAACGTGATCGGGGATTCTCAGTGTATCCTCAGACCCAGTGACTGGCTTTGGATACATGATATAGACGTGCAGAAGCGCCTGTTTACTGTCAGTCGAGTACATACTCAGATTGTTTGACGCCTACATGGCCATCATCAAGAGACATCAGCTTGGCAAACTCATCCAGCGCAAGCTTGTCCTGTGCTTGAATCTCAAGAATCCAGAATATGTTGATCTTTCGAGTCATATCGCCATAAAGCCTGTCCGTATTCCCTTGAGCGAGCGAGGTTTTCTCCTTTTTCATTTTGTTCCTCTCGTCACGGTTGTGAAAAGCCCTCTGCGCTAAGAAGATGGCGTGGGGAAGAGCACCAAAGATACCGCAGCCCTGCGCAATCAGAGTTACTGTCCTGAAAGCCTCAAGATGGATCTCATGTCCATAGGGGCCATCTAGGAAAACTTTCTGGTTGACTGAGACCAAATCACCCCATGATCAGTCCCGAAAACAATACGAGACGCCTTGATTGGCTGTGCAAGACGAGGTGAGTTTATATCCCAACTTTGTGCTAATGACGTGTCTCGAGACAGTTCCGGCTCTTTGGTAAGTGCAGTTGCTTCCGATGTTGGCGGCGATTTATCTGCTGTAGCCGTTGTATCGTTCTTGATGAATCTGTCCTGGTGTGGGAGTCGAAATCCTTCAGGAAATGGACGGTTCGCCATTGTCCAGGCGTATACAATGACTGGAAGTCCAAACAATCGGTAAAAGCGACCGTTATGCAGACACAAGTAGAAGTATGCTCCAGGATACAGCACAATCTCCTTTGAGAACCGTACACTGATTACTGCCGAGCCATCCAGCTCTCTGATAGCAGTAATTCTACCTCGTTCCCTAGCGAATGCTGGTTTGATGCGCAGAAACAACATCGAGATCCAAACAAAAGTATAGGCAGATGTCCATATAATTTTGTAGGGATCAATCGAGGAGGACAGAGTGTGAAGCAGCAGAGTTGCGAAAACGAGAAGGGCCGTGGCAGAATGGATTGCGATGTAAGAGGAGTAAAACCGCTTACGCAGAGAGAAAAGAGAAAAAATGCCGTGAGAAAGTATATTGACGACAAACAACACAACCACCTGTAGGGCATTTAGTTAACAGTTGAAGGGGAAATGATTGTTCGAATCTCATACAAGTAATCCCGTGACTTGCTGTAAATTCCATCGAACTGACCACACAAGGCCTGCGTGTAGTAAGCCCTGGGCTCCAGAAACCATTGCAATCCAGTGGTGAGCGAAATAGTAAGAGTTGAAGGAGACACCGGCCATTTGCGCAAGGAAGTTCGTCCTTCCCGGAACCAGTATTAAGCAGAGTCCCAGCGCACCGGCTGTAGCTGCTCTTTTTTGTCGATCATTGTTGTTCTCGATGCCGAAAACGACAAGGCAAACGTTTCCCGCTAAGAATATTGAAAGACAAAGCACAAGGAAGAAACGTGGATAGTAGCCCTGGAGCTTACGCCGTAGAGAATGAAGGAGTTTGAAAAAGTGTCTTCGTAGCACAACTCCCGCAACAAGAAGAGTAAGTGCGATGCTGTACCACTGGCCTCCTTCAAGGTCTGCCATTTTCAGATGTTGAATTGTTAAAAGTCAGCCTTTTGCAACCAAACAAGCTGAGAGCAGAACCTAATATTTAACCAGGCATGTCACAGTCAATGCCTCAAAATAGTACACGATATTACTTAAAATAGATTCGGTGCAAAAACTTCTAAATTTAATCTATAAGGTACCATATAGTCGGCGCCTAGAGCGTTTTCTCGCTATAAATGGTAGAACCCGCACCCGCACCGTTGTCTCAACACAGTTTTCCACAACAACCACTACACAAATAACTACGGAAACAATCAACTGGACGGAGTTTCAACATAATGTCTTCTACTTCTCGAGCCTGCAAAATCCGTACCACAGGACTTTTCAAGAAGGGGAACACGCTGCATCGAATGTTCGGGCCGAAAGTGGCAGTGATTGTTGATATCGACAACATACTCCACAGCTATGTTTCCCACCATGATTGGATGACTATCCATCAACTCTTGAGATCCTTGGGTATAAAACAAGAAAATCTTCATGGACCAGATCACTTCGACACAGTTGCCGATCGACTTGGTGGGCAAACACCCGCGTTTTCTCAAGGGACCACAAGTGAAAGTCACATCTCCTTTTCTTCCGTTTTAGCCACACCCCCGAGACAGTCCATTGATAGTGGGCGTTCAGAAGAACGCCTATTAGAGGAATTGATTTCATCTCTAACGAACAACAACTGTCAGGCTCCGGCTCCGATCGTCAACACAGCCTCGGCTGATTCTAGCCGCGTCCCCAAAGCAGACACCGCAGATAGAGTCGAGAATACGGGAGTAGACAGATTTACTGACGTTATGACTCAGCATGTTGTTGAAAAGGGCAGTATGACCACTTCAGATGTGTCGCAGGGAAAGAGCAGAAGGTTCACTCGCTATGATCACTCTGCTGAGCAGGGAAGGAAAAGGAAGAGAGGTCAAGAGGCAGATGACCGTCGGCGCAAGATTGTCACGAGGTCTCAAGACATATTTTGACCTTTTTAAGTTATTGGGTTTGACTTCGGTACATGTATTGGGCAGGACCCGGTGTTGGCTTTTTGGATGATTTATTTTGTATTTACCGTCTGTCGCTATCACATGTTACCCAGAATGTTCAAAAGATTGTCGATTGCTACAGCA